CACTTATATCCAAAAAGTTGAAAAATTTAATTTTTCAATAGCAATTTCGTCTACCACGACGTTTTGTAAGCTAATTTAAATGAAATAAAGTTAAGGCGGTTGTTTTATGAGGTTATCTTGTATTTATTTAAACAATAAAAATAACAATATTATCGCATTTATCCAAAGCAAAATGCAAACATAAACAATTCTTACTTTAATGGTTTTGTTTGTTTATTTGTTTTATTTTACGCCTTTTTCCAACAGTATTTCAGTCATATAGGCGGGTAGTTTCCTAGACATCGTTCCTGGAGAGTTACACCAGTACTAGACGGTAAACGCCAATAAAGTTACATAAACATATCACAAACCAAGCAAGTACTTCTAAGCAATTTTGATTATAACACTTATTGCATAAAATCACATAACTAAATATGTTACTATTTCAGGCAACAAAAATCATAACAAAACAAGTTCGGTTGCTTCTGACGGAGCGAAAATGTTTAGAGAAATATCCCAAATTGCTGATGAAAAGGTCATTTTCCCGAGAATTAAGCCTACATTTTAAATAATGATGGTATTACGTATGAAATGAATGCAAAGTTCTTTGTGAAAAATATGCACATCAGCTATTTTAGCAGACAATGTAGTTTTAAAAGAATTAATGTTTCTATAACAAATTTTACAACATTGTATCCTAAAAATGTCCCAGCATAACTTTTCTTTATGGAGGACAATGAAAATCTCACAAATATACAGAAAAGCAAATAAATATTAAGGTTGTATAAAAAGAGGTCGTCCTTGGTGATTTGTCAATTTCATCATCGATCGTCAAACACGTCAATAAAAGTCAAGCTATGTAGTTACCTTTGTCTTCTTTGTTTCTTGACCATGCATTTATTTCCTTAATGAAGTGGGGCTATTGATTTTCCCAGTTAAGAGAATAATAATTTGTCAGTGTTGTTACGTTATCTCGTGACGGGAAATTATCAAAACTAAAGTCATTGATTGTTAACTGACATCATTTGTCTTTAGAAGATAAGGAGCTATGAATGATTTGAAGAAACAAAGTCTCATATTTTGTGATAATTTGTATGCATTATGGTAGGTTAGAAGGCCTAAGAACTTCATTTATTTTTTTCAACAGAATACAAAAATGAGATTAATTACAATATAACATTAGTCGACAAAATCTATACATTTACTGCATAATTAATTTGTCGTTTTATATTGAAAATTTCGTAATGATACCGAAATGAATATCAAAACAGCACGGTCGTTGCTATGGGGCATATATGATAGCTTACTCTAACAACTTCCGTTCAAGAAAGAATGAATCAAGCTAAGCTTGCAATATTTTTTATTGACTTTTGTTTTCACTTTATAAAAAAAACATGATGACATGATTTGAAATGATAATCAGATTGAAAAAAAATATAAATATCTAAAAGAAAAAATATGTCCAATTGAGTTTTCATCTCAAGCATCTGTACTCTGTCAACAGCTTTTGATAACCGACAAACGCTAAATTAAAAGCAGACTGACATACCGTAGCGGGTATATGCTATTTTTCAAACATCAAGATACATACTTAACTGTTTTTAATTCAGAACGCACTCATAATTACATAAGTTTGCCATCTGACAATTCGCCAAATATCTTATTTCGCCGTCAGTATTACATTATATTTATATAAAATTCGTATTTAGAAATTTAAACAGTGTAAAAACTCCCGTTAACGTTACGACGCAGGCCAATTTTTTATACGCATTGCAATTGGTAACAAGCATGCCACTTATTCCTTCTTTTAGAAAAGGGGTGGTTCAACAATACTGCTAAGCCTTTGGCCAAAATTATTATTTATAGCTAAATGATTTCCAGAAACAGCAATAATAGTGTTGCTGTTCGTGGTTTGATACATGACAACTTTCATGTGCAATTCCTATGAAATCCTCCCTGCAATATGTAAAATTATTTAAAAACACCAGCATCTTTCTCGTCATCGTAACATATTATTCACGTTGCGGGCATAAATTAAATGTATGCTTTAATGGTAACGTAACATTGATTTCAACAGTTTAGAACACCTACACATTAAATATGCATCGGAAAATATCGTTTCCCGAAATAAAAGCAGCACGCCTCGAGATTCATGCTTATTTTCATAAAACTTTGAAAAGGTAAGGTACCTTACCTTTTTTCAGTATGTAAAAATTGCTTTGAAAACTAGTTTTATCGTTGTAACAGTTGTCCAATTGGTCTTAAATTATGAAAATATTTTTGATAGAGTGTTTACAGGGGCGTATCTTGTTGGGGACATGATCTGACACCCAAGCGTCTGCGGTTAAGAAAATATTCTTTAATTGCAAGTTTTGTTTGTTGCCATATGAGCGGAGAATGTGTCGATACTCAAATGAACAATTCATTATAATCAGTGCTGATTTTCCGTCTGTTTTATGAACAAAGACCAATAAGGCATCAGATACTTTTGTTTGAAGTAGCGATGTCAAGCCGTTGTTTTTGTTTTTGCCGTATTTTCAAGAATGTGACAATTAGAATATTAAATGTGAGGGGTTTCCACATAAGATTTGTTGAATAATGTGAAAATAATGTGAGTAAATCCATCTTTACTGACACCTTGATCCAAGAAAGAATGTTGACAGAAGCGTTTATATATCGGGTTTTCTTTTCCATAATCTACTACGTTACTAACGCAGTAGCCAATATAAATAGGAGAAGATAATTTATTTTACGCGGTCACGTGTCACAACAGTGATCCGGAAAAATCCCGGTATCCGGTATTCCCGGGATCGTTTATCAATTTTCGTCATTTAGTAGGCCCCTATCACATTTCAAGCTAAAGGTTAAATCGATAAATTGGTTATCATATATATGAAATAATTAATCAATTATAATTTCTATTGCCATGAATTACTACAAAATACAAAAACATATTAAGCATTTATTCGTATCCCTATATGTTTGATAAAATCCCGATTCCGTGCGTTCCGGAGCACAGATCGCGATATTGTCCTGTACGGTCACGTGATACTGAGAAAAAACCCGGATTAAAGGATTCCGTGGTATAATAAAAGAAGGTATTTCCCGTTGGTGGAAAAGCGAGACCTGTTTGTTTTCAGAGCAATGAAGAGCAGTATGTTTAAATAAACATTTTGTTGTCTGTGGTTGTATAATCACTATTGCGTGAGGATCTTAAATTTAATGTATATCGAATATACAAAATAAGCTTATACAAAAAAACAGTCTAAACGGTATAAGGAAATTATCTTTAAATTTGTTTAGACAAATATCAAATAGTTCACAAATGTTAAAAATTATTTCAATTCGTGTCATTTCAAAAATTCTTGGCGTCCCTATATAGATCCTTTAAAATTGTGAAAAATTGCATAGGTCGCCTCCTTTCTTGTACAGATTGTCTAAACCAATCGTCATTTAAAAATACAAACAAACACACACTGTAGAAACCTCGTATCATCTGTGACATATACATCACAATTAAGATGTCTGAAGAAGAAAATTAGATGCTATAATCCAATTAAGATGAAACACAGAGTATCTTTGACCATGGTAACAGAATCGAATGAATTGTAACACCACATCGTGGTATGAGAATTTATAGATGTATAATCAGCACTTTTTAAGAATGAAATGTATTTTCAGCAAGTTGCTTCATATCTGTTCCCATTTCTATTTTATTTTTAAATCGAAATTTCTGTAAAATTTAGAAAAACGGGGATTATCAAAACAAAATAAATAAGTGCACACTTTATACTCTGTTTTTCAGGTTTCTACGTGGATGATAATCAATAATGCAAAATCATACACACACCTTGCACATGATTGCCCAGTATCAAGTCTGTAAAATTATTTTCAATACATTTTTGTATTTCAGTATAAACTGGCAAACATTTGAATTTTTATCAAAGGCCACAGGTTTCTTTTATTTGGAAAAAAGAATAATTATTTAATTTGATAGAAACTTGTGAAATACAAGACTTTATTAATGGTCTCGTTTGTTATTATATAACAACTAAAATACGGCAATGTCTCAGCAATTGAACACAGCTGCTATTTGTTGTTAGTTGTTTTATCTCCACTGCGTTATGCGTAAGTCATAATAAAGTCAGCTTGGAAGCTGTCATATTTCATTGTTTTCTTAATGGATTTTCAGGTCAGAAAATGCAAATCCAGACATCCAGAAACATTAACTGAACATGTTTATTTCAGGTGTATTGGGACTATCTTAATAATTATAAATGTCTGTTGAAATGTCTTCACTAGAGTATAGACCACCAACTACACGGTTCCAAATTGAATACAAACCTGCATTTAACCCCAGTAAAGCGACAATATTAACTGTATTAAAGAATACAAAAAGTTTAAAGTTATAAATATTTGTTTCATTTTGAATGCTAAATGCATTAAATTAAATGTTGACTTGAAAATATATTTCGCAACGACATTTAGTTTGTCATGATCTATACGTTAAAAGGTACATGCATATTCCAAATCTTGTACAATTTTCAGCGAGGAAACCTGTCGTGTGAATTACATTTCCCAACAGCTACATTAAACAATAAGATAATCTCACTAATTGTGCTGTACAAGTATATGTATTTGTTTTCTTACTGAATATCTATATAGCTAAAAAATATGCGAGAATTCATCTGAACACTGAAAATAAACATGATTATCGAAAAATGGAAAAAAAAGCGAGATTTATGTGTATTAATAGATGGCTGACTGACATTTAGAGCAAAAAATATGAAGAAGTCTTGATTCACTGCGAAAAAGTTATAAGAAATGCTTCATAGAATAAAGACGAAAATAAACGTGAAACAGCCATCCCTTGTATTCTAATATTTGAAGCAAATCAGGATTGTATTTCATAACCTTTTTGGGTAGATTCATATAAGTTGTGCATACTATTTCTTTGCGCATGCGTTGATTGAATTAGTTGGCTATATATTTTTGAAACTGGCCTTGTGCGCGCATTTTCTTCGTGTTTCGCTGAAAGTTTTCGTTATTTCATTATGTATCTCTTACTTTCGATAATTTTCTTAGCAATTACTCAAAGTCTGTCTTTTGCAGCCGAACCCAGATGCTCTCGGTTCCATTATGAAGAACAACTTCTCGAGAAAATGATAAGAATGGAAGTGAAAGTTGAAGAGGTTGAAAAACGTATATCTAAAACAAACCAAAATGTGATCAATGTGCTTGAGGAGTTAAAAATAGAAAGGACGAAAATGAAAAACGATAACGTCGAACTGCAAACGAATTATGCTAAGGAAATGGAAGAGCGAATGAACGATGTTACTGATTTAAAAGGTTGGATATTTTTATTTGGTTTTGTTGACCAGGTTAAAACTTTTTAACAAAAGTAATGAAATCGAAAATATATCTGCACGTTGTGTGTGTGTTGTTTTTTTTTTTTTTTTTTTTTTTTTTTTTTGTTGTTGTTTTGTTGTTGTTGTTTTTTTGCTGTTTTTGTTGTTGACTGACACTGCAACATTAAACAATGATCAATTGAAGTGCATTTTTATAAGGGCTAAATGAAAATTGTAAACTAAAGCAAAGAATTTTCCCATTTTTTACATAATTAAGAAAGATATTTTTCTTATTTTTGCATGATGAAACAAAACTTGAATGGAATTGAAAATCAAATAATTAAATGAATTGTGGGTCACTGTACTTTTCTACCCCCGAAAGTGATTTCTTGGCCCTTAGGTCATCTGTAAGCAGAAAATCTTTAAACTGTTGCAAGGCACATCTTATTTAACGTTGCTTCATTTAAATCAAAACAAATTTTTGAAAATGAAATTGTAATAATTACTCATTATGATTATGATTTATTTTCGATATGATACCTTGTTATTATTGTTTTAACATAACCTGTTACCATTTTCACTGTTAAAAGACGTTTACGTTTGAAAAAGCATTTTTATAAGCGCAAATATGAAAATTGTAAACTAAAACAAAGACTTTTTGTTAATTTTTACATTCTTAAAGAAACATTAAATGAAAAAAAGTCAAACAAAACAATACATTTGGATCACCAAGATCCTTTCTCCTCAGAAAGTGAGTTTTGGCTCTTTAAGATCATCTTTAAGAGCAGAAAACTCTTTAACGCAAAAGATACAATGATACCCCCCCCCCCCGCCTCCCTATCCAATTTTTTTATATATTTTTTTTCAATATTTATTTTTATTGATTTTAAGAAAACTGTCTGGACTAGCTTTTCCTATTTTCTCCTTTGTTTAAAGTTGAATTTTCAAAAAAAGTCATAACGTGTAGTTTCTTTATGAAAAATATGTATAAAAGAGCGCACATATATTACATTCATTTGAATAAAAAAACATAGCATACCTGAGTTGAGTGGTTAGGTTATGCATATGCAAGATACTTCATGTTTCGAGTTCAAATTAAAGCATTTTATATTCTACAAAACAAGTCAAATATAATTCCAAATTAATATGTTTTTAACATGTTTAAAAAGAACCAAAACCTAACCAGGTGCAAGTCACTGAAATGTGTATTTTTATAATGGCTATTTATTACATTAAATACATTTAATTTATATTTTCATTTTGTTATTTGTCTTATTCGTGATTTTTTTAAATATAATTTTTATTACAGCTTTGGTTCTCACCGACACGATAGCATTCAAAGCAGGCGAACCCACGGACCTAAGCCTTGAAACAGGACAGATCATTGTCTTCGCGAGCAATATGTTAAATAAAGGTGGAGCATACAACAATAAAACGGGAATATTTACAGTACCAGTGAGCGGAACTTATATATTTATGATTCATCTTTGTACAAGAAATGGTATAAACATGTATTATGGTATAATGGTTGACGACACAGTGTACACATCTGGGAGATTTTACGACACTAATGCATATTCGTGTTACACTGCTGACGCTCTAGTTGTTCTAAGCGGCGGCGAACAGATTTACGTCAAATGCCTATCTGGATCATCATCACCTGACGTACTGCATGAGTACTCCTCGTCATCATATAACTATTGGAGCACGTTCTCTGGCTTGCTGGTTCACAGATAGATTTAAACCTTTTTATAGTTCTAAATAAATATATAAACTACTAGATGAACCAGACTTTATTCAAATATTCTTATTTGCGAATTATTACTTAAGACTGTATTGTAGTATTTAAGTTTAATTATTTCGTGACGATAAATTCGTCGTTATAGTTTTGCTTTGTTTTGTTTATATTTTACGAAACACCGACACAGATTTCGTTAAAGTTATAAATTGATATACAAAAATTTTCTTTCAACATAGGGAGACTTCCTATCTTGACAAGTGTTTTCATGTTCATACGCCCTTAAGGGATTGCTTAAAAGTAAAAGGATTACAACTAAGTTTCTGTGTGGACACAATGACAAGATAAGATACTTTGTTGGAAATATTACTGAACTTAATATTACTGAACTTAAAATACACAAACTGACAGTTGTTATTTTTTTTCCCGCCTATATGACTGAAATACTGTTGGAAAAAGGCGTAAAATGAAACAAACAAAGAAACAAAATATGTGTTTTACAAAATGCGAGGTGTTGTTGCTGTTCTCCTTCGTCATAATTATTATTTCATTATTAGATTCACAAATCGTATATTATGTTTAAAACTTTTCTATGCTTTTCTAAGGTTTTCAGGAATGATTCTATAAGATTTCGGAGAAATTTCATATATGTTAATATAGAAAAGAATTGGCATGATATACATTATATTTTATCTTTTATACATTTGTTAGCATTTTCATAAGATAACTTTTATCTTGATTAAAAACAGTACATAATTACATTTTTAATTAATAACATTAATAATAAATTATACATCTGAAATAGTATATGAAATACTTTATATTGTAGATGCCTAGTTTTGACAATTATCAGTTGTTCTGGTTGATTTTAGCTATTCGCTTGAAAAAAAAAAAGATTTGTATTCAAATGCTTATTTGATTTTGAATGACTTTTATTATTTCAAATGGAAATATTGTTTAATGTGAAAGTAAAATAATAAATGTTATTACTTTTCCATAGCCTAATTTTATATTTATGCAACAAAAACTCAACATATGTATATTTTTTAGGAAAAGCGATACATTGTAATTATGTGCATATAAGGTGTTAGTTTGTTTTGTTTTTGTTTGTTTTTTGCTACTATTATATTATACCCGTCACATGCACTAGTCATAATTAAATCCAATAGGAAGCTTTGATAGATTTATCTAATTTTTGATTGGATTTTTTATTCAGTTTTGATAATCAGTACCCAGACAGACTTGACTATGCAATGTATGTTTTTTCGTACATTTATACAATCATGTATAAAGAATTTACAGGCTCAATCAAACCGAGCCTGCAACATTTTCAATTTTGCCGTGTTGGGCTTTCTTTAGGGATTCTGTATTTTATCTATTTTGTTGTATTGTGATGTTTGATTTTCAATAATGGAAATTATGAAGATAAAAAATGGGGATTGTGTCATGAACAATAAGTGTAGAAAAGAAAGAGTTTAAAACGTATTTGCAGCAATTGGTGAATCTAAACTTTGACCGGTGAAAAACTACCGATGGGGATTTTTAAGCATGTATATATTCTCTATCGGTTAAAACTGTTAAAAATAACTGATTTGATAACCTTTCTACTTCAAACGCCGATTAATAAATCGATTATGTTAAACTTAACACCGATGAAAAAAGATGAAAATTAAAATGTAGGATTTCGTCGAAGTGGAAGCGTATTTCCATCATATTGCACTTAGTGTCACTAAGTTTATATGTACTGTAGTTCTAACAAAAAGAAACACCAGAAAGGCAAACACAGAAAAACACAGTGTTATGGACAAGTTGTTTATAATGTCCAGACAATTAATCATACAGTATTGTAAAATGCTTCAAGGATATTCTTTTGACCAAACACAAATGTTTGCGGGAGATTGATTTATTCGAGTAATTCTCCTCTCAAAAGTCTATTTTCCATTAAACAACTCTTACACGCGTAACGCAGCTCATTTTCATTTTTTATCAGGAACGCGAATGGATATTAAAGGCCCATTGTGCCTCAGTAATCCTATCATTTTTATTTCTCAATAACTTGGTGACTTGACACAGGCTGTTATTTCACCATTCGCAATTCAATTATCACGATAGAATGTTAAGTCTAACTTACTGAACTTCAACGCGACCTCAAGCGACTTTAGCAGCTGATTTTGACATTATTTCTAGAACATTTAAAACTGTTGCGTTGGACGGTTACTTTACAGAAACGGCACACTGCATCAACAGTTCACATCAGGTCGCATGCATGTATCAAATTATTACCAAATGAATCATTTAAACAAGTAAATAAAATCCGGGTACATTAAGAGCATGTGGTACAAAGTGTGTGTTTTCAAGCGGTTTTAGGATGAAACTACCTCAGTGTTTGATGCAAAAGTTTCAGGTCCGACGACATCGCAAGTCACTGTTGGAAACACAACGATTGTTAGGGAACTGTTACATAATGACAAACGGTGAATGAACGATGCAAGGTATTTCAAAGCAAAACTCTTTCTCACATACAATTCAGCGTATTCTTGCAGAGGAGTTAAATATGGGTGTATATTCATTCAGATAGTGAGAAAATGTGTGGGTAATGATTATGTCGAAAAACTAACCGGACACTAGACTTTGGCATTTAGGTAACGTCAGCGTGACCTTACGTTTGCCTCATCGTGTACATTTTATCGGTATCTAAATTATATTTGAGCTATATGCCAGTCGTGAGTGAACTGTTTATCTCATGCAGTTTTATTGGCGTCCGCGCCGAAGCGCGACGCCCTTATGGAATGAATCAGATTTTGCGAAAGGGCGATTGCAACTTCTCGAGCCTTTTCGTCGGCCATAATAGCCGAACATTCCGATTGGTATGAGTGTCTAATTATCAAAAATTAAATGTCGCGATATGTAAAATGAATAGCGAACTGGATAATTTCGCAATGTAAACATATTCATGAATGAAATTATCTTATCCGTCAATTAATCGCGCTCTTCGGTTTTTTATTAATCATTTCGTAGTACACAGTGGGTTATTATTTATGTTAACTATTGCTTTACCTATAAATAGAATGATGACCTGAACATTGTGAAAGTCCGAAATCTATTTATAGAAGTAGTAATAGTTTAACGAAACGGTCATTCGTGTCGCAACGAACTGGAGAATTTTGCAGGAAATGAAATGCAAACATATTAAAACAATTAATTGCAATCTTTAAGTAGGTAATTTTTACGAATTGTTTAATCATAGTATTATCATTCTTCGTCTACAATTTTAACATGAGTTGTTATGGGTTTTTACTTTATTGATAGGCATGTAAACACACTGATGGGTCAGACTAGGTCATTAAAATAGTAGATTGACCTCCCAAATTAATCAATTAACAGACATTGTTCATTTTGACTATTATGTTGTATGTTCCGAAGAAAATCCGACATGAACTTGAAATTCTATAAAATAATCAATATTAATGATAATATCCAAAAGTACCCCTATATAGTATAAATAAACTTATACCAAATAGGGGATATGTTTTGATATTATAGACCTGTATATTTTGGATATTATCGTTAACATTGATAGAATTAATTAAAGTTCCTGTGGAAAAAAACATTTAATATTCAAATCTCTAGCATGCCTATCAAAGTTCATGATGAACAATGTCTTCCGTCAGCCCATTCATAAATGATATACAATACTGGTTAAAACCAAATAACGATTGAAAAGTTTATAAGAATATCTGGTCATCAGATGTCTCTGATGTCTACTTGTTCATCTTCACTTGCTGCATTTCTTGCGTGGACGCCCTTTGATGCTTTGCATCAATGCGTTTCTTATTTTGTATTTATTTTTAAACATTTTCGTTTCCGTGTTTTAGTAAAAAAGCAATGCTGTGAACTTATCAATCGCCCCTCGAAAGTAAATATCGAAAGAAAGGACCCTGATTTCAACTTAGTTGGAAAATGTTTTTGCTTTTAGAGTATACACGATACTCTTTTAAATTATTTTTTAAATTAAATACATAATCCACAAAGAAGTAACGATATGCCTTCTTGAAAAATCATAGTTGTCAAGATTTGTAAGCTTTTCCTACGAATGAATTCATTTAATTTTTGGTCATTAACAGTGTTTATTTATGCGCATCTGTTGTCAATCATTGACAACATTTTCTGTATTATCAATACACAATCTTGCTTCTAATTTGTATTGCTGCCAACGCCATTGCTTGAGTCTGTTTAATACTTTGGATAATCTATTAATTAAACTTATAAATATGACAAACACAAGGTTTTAATTTGAAAAGTTTAATCCCTGTCAAAAAGCATAATAATTTTCATTCTTATTCAATTCCCTGTATTTCAGCAAAAGGGAATTTAATTATACCAATCAAAACTTTAACTTATTTTTTATGAAACTAAAATCAATCATAACTTCACGTGCATCTGCACGATAAAGAGCAGCATAATAAACACGGCGTGATTACGAGGATATTGGTGTTTGATCAAATCAATTAGAACACTTGGAAGACAAAACGGCAAAGCAAGTCAACATTTAGTCACAAAGTCAATTACAAAATCTCAGAAAGCATAAAGTAATATACATTAATAAACATATTTGTTAAGATAACTAAACTAGACTAGTTTTTAGGCATTCTGCTTCCTACTGGATCAAAACAAAATAATTTTTGAGATATTTCGGTGCTAGAGGGAGAACGTGTGCGGTGTTAATCGTTTCGTTGTCACTAATCAAAAACACTAAAAAAAACGATGTCTGCGTTTTTCAACTAAGTGTATTTTTTTTTGTTATAAGTCTCAATATGTTCCTTTGGCGAAGTAAAAGTAATTGAAATTGATACCCGCTAAGTGAAATTCTAACAATTATCATGGCTACATAAGACGAAATAACAAAACACAGAAATTTTCATATTAAAATGCTGGATTTAATTGCGTTGATAAGTAAAAAGTTCATAGAAAAGAAAAACAATAACATAAATAAATACTAATAATAAAATGAAAGTTCACATTAACCCTTTCCCCCATGAGCATATTGTGAAAAATGGCCATTTTCACTGAAAAGCCTCCTGTTACAAGTTCAAACTGCTATGAAACTATGAAAAATGCTTCAATACTAATCAAACTTGGCACAAATGTTGACTGGACCATTGCCTTTGTAACGACATGCTCAGTCTTAAATTTCCTGTTACCATGGCAATGAGGGGACATCTCAAAATTGCAAAAAATCACTTTTTTGCCTCGATTTTTTCCATCAAAATTTATTTCAAAGTGCTGCAACTTCTCAAGGGATTGAGATAGAGTCAAAGGCTTTTCAGCGTTGGTTACACGTTACCTTATGATCGACCTGGGGTCATTTTAAGCCTCTCACAAGTCCAAAATTTTCTTGGCGATGAGGGGGACTCTGCCCCCCTTCAAACCCCCCAAACAGAAGGGGGCACATCCCCCTTCTGGCAACCCACTGATGTAATATTTGGATGGGGGACGGCGCCGAAAAAATGGTCACTTTTTTTAACAACATTTCTCAAACAGAAGACAGTGTTTGGGGCCTAAATAGGGCATTTTTTCACTGTTTGAGGCCTCAAAAAGGGGGGGGGGGGCAAAAAGCCGTCGAAACACGCTTATATAAGGGAAAAGGTTAACAAAAAATGATGAAAAACCTTGGAATCACCAAAAATCTAGTTTTTCCATGTTAACATGTTGTCTTTTACCTAATTTTGGTGAAAAATTGTTGTTTTGTAACATTTATAATTTTTTTAGTTAACCCTTTCCCCCATGAGCATATTGTGAAAAATGGCCATTTTCACTGAAAAGCCTCCTGTTACAAGTTCAAACTGCTATGAAACTATGAAAAATGCTTCAATACTAATCAAACTTGGCACAAATGTTGACTGGACCATTGCCTTTGTAACGACATGCTCAGTCTTAAATTTCCTGTTACCATGGCAACGAGGGGACATCTCAAA